CCCCAAAACCCCAAAACCCCAAAACCCCTTTTGTTCCAAAAATGGCTGAAAATAGAGAAGTCATAGAAAATTCAGTTTCTAATTTGGTGAATTTGGGATAAAAACCATTCACAAACTTGTTTGGTTGTTGTAGTCATTGGAGCTCTAAGATTTTAAGACTGTAAATCTAAGACCAGACTTGTTTCAGTTAAGCAGATTCAGAATTTTCTAGCATCGGATCAGATTTATTGGAGCATTAAGCATTTTCTGCTCGGCACTTCGTACAAAAATATTGGATGTGCCTAAATCCCTCTTGGTACCGATTCGGTTGGCTAAATTGGTGATTCCATAGGAGTTAAGACGAACTATCTATCCTTAGAAATCGCTGAAAATATATTGTGAAATTGTTATAAAAATTAAGCAATATTACATTTTTGAAAGAATTCCCGTGCATGGACGGCATAAGGGATTTCCAATTAGTAGTGACTCAAGGGACCATTTTTATGTACTCATTAGTGATGATACTATCCTCTGTTTCTCTTATAGAACAGGGGCTTGCTCAGTGACATCCTGCTGTTATGTTCAAGGTGAGCTATATGACCATTACGAGGGATCGACCGGGCTAAGCAGCTTGTTTTGTGATGACTATTTCAGTTGCTACTGGCTCTAATCTTGTGCTCCGATCATATGTATGCCCCTGAGATCCTGCTACTCGTGCTCTCTCATGTGTGAAAGGTATCGTTCCTTTGGGGAAGGTAGGACTCGTCATCTCTAATATTGTGAACAACATTGCTAGCGGTTATCTGGTGAGACTTGAGAGGGATGAATGTTCTTAGTCTCAGGTTAGATTTCAAGTACGTCTTCAGTATCCTCCTGTTCTTAACTGTATGTGTAGCTTGTCTAGGAAGCCGTATTCGCTTCTCTTCAGATCTTGCCAAGATTTGTTGATCCACCTCGTATGCAACGGGGATTTGCTTAAGATATTTCTCTTCAGACCGCTGGAATTTGCTAACCTTCTTAGGTGTGATAACCCGAGGAGCTTCTTGGCTTAGCTCTTCTTCAGTAACTTTTGGGATAAGATTTTTGGATTTATTCCTGAAGCTATTTACTCAAGTTTTAAACTTGTGCATATTTGGCTTGGTCTTTACAAATAAGAGGAGCTGTTGTCATATCTCTTTGGGTCTTGCTGGTCCTGGTGGAGGTTTGTCAAGTTCACTCGCTGGTTGTTCTTCCGAAGTGTGTTCACTTTGGAAATCATTTCCTTCCTGTTGTAGATTTTGAAAATGTGTTTTAGCTTCTTTTCCGAGCTTAGCTTGGCATACTTCTGTTGTTCAAGGGGGTTAAGGATGACATTCATGGCTTCATTGTAGCGGGGAGCTTCAGAAGTATCAGAGATGCTTGCAAATTTGTGTTGTTTCTTATCTTTCTCGATGGTATTGGCCCTTCTCTTCTTCAGTGTCGACATAACCGGCTTGGGAGATTCCATTGCTTTTACATCTGGCTTGGCTAATACATTGATCGCAATACAACTATGCAGTTTCATATGAGTGGCTTTGGGTCCTTGTTCTTCGGAATAATCTCTATTAGGAGACATGTCTTTCTCATTGGCTCAAATTGGAGAAACTTTAGGACGAGTACTGATCTTCTTGCGCTGTTGTGACGCTCGAAGTGAAAAAGAATTCTGAAATTTCGAAAATTTTCGTACTTTCTTAGTTTTAATGAATGCTGGTGACTGTTTCGGGCTTCTGGCCAGTACCTCATCTATGAATAGTTAGATTGTTGTGGTACCTTTGGTCTCATCTTGAATGAGCGAGAAACTGCTTCCTTGTTCACAGGTGTTCCGTCCGATAGTTGTCCTAGCTCTGAGCTTCTTCTGTTGCTCGGTTCTGTGCATTCGTTGTGTCTTCTTTAGATTTATGATTTTAGTCAACTCCTTTGCTCTTTTTGAATGAATTTTTGCCTTGCTTTTACGTAAATTGGGAAAATTGGTATTCTGGGAAAGCTTCAGATCAGGCTCGATTTTATAAGTTTCATAAAATTCCTCACAAAATTTGTGAAGGTCAGGATTGGTGTGTTCATGTTTGCTTTTCACCGATGTGTTCTATAGATCATACCAATGAGCAAACGAAGAACTGAATTCAATGACAAGCATTAACTTTGTAACAGCAAATCCAACCTGAAGTTGGGGACAGAAATAGAGCCACGTACCATTGGTTTAATCCTGACTTCAATTTCCTGTAAACAAGTCTCCAACATGGCTGGTTTATACACCAGTTGGGTATCGCTAAGGATGCCTCGTGAACGCTTGATTTTAGTCGGAGAGGTTTCCAGGTCAAGAGTGACATCCCTCCAGTTTTCTAAACAGTCATCTTTACTCATTGATTTAGTTGTATTAAATTATTATCATTATTAATGAAATTTAAAGGGGTTTTGGGGTTTTGGGGTTTTGGGGTTTTGGGG